GTTAGAATTAGTTTAGCAAGGTTAACGAATAGATCAGAACCTCTGTACAATCCAGACGAAATTGCTCGAATCAGAGTACCTCAAGTCTCACTAGTTGTTAATCATATATACATTTTCGTGAATAAAAGTATTAGTTAATTTTAAAGTTACCTCAATGTACTTTTTATTCTACGGAATCCAACAGTGTCATGGAGCCTCCCGTGATAAGGTTTAAAAACAATAATTCTGACATTGACTGGGAAATTCGTTTTGCATGTACGAAAATTGGGGAGAAGACTTTGTGTTTATTGTGTGAATGTGAATTTACCTGCATGCGGAAATTCAATGGTGAGAGGCATTACAAAAGCACGCATGCAGTTTATGACATGACGTTTCTCGTAGAGTCATTAGCGCGGGCTAATGAATTTCGCGTCATAAAATTCCGTCTTAGCGAAATCGAGTTCTTTGACGGGACAGTTACCCATGGACTTCTTATACAAAAGGAAAGATTATCGACAGCAATAAAATCCATAGACGATCGTCATCCAGGCATTCAAAGAGAAGTGAAGGAAACTTTATTCGGCGTGTCCTCGGTTATATCGGTGTCAGATGATATGCTTTACTTTGTCTGCAGCCGAAGGTCAGAAGTGATTAATATAAGGAGTTTCTTCAAGGCGAGGGACTCACACCATTCAGCAAGACTGGCAGATTCCCCCCTCTGAATCTCATCTTTTTGACGAAAAGCTTCTGTCAGAATTCCTGGTTCAGCAGGGCGGCATTCCACTCTCCAACATCAGGCGGCCGAAGAAGAGACCTTCCTCTCGAGAAAGTCTCTCAGGCAACAAGCCCTCACATCCTCTTCCCTCAAAGCAAGGCTCAAAATCTTCAAGAAATTGCTCGGAAACCCTCCCCTAGAAAGATAAAAACCTTCGGGGTCGGAGAGTGTGACTCTCTTTTCAGAGGAGGTGATTGGAATGCCTCATTCCCAAGTGGAGGGATTTCTGAGCACCGGACCATATCCTAAGAACCCTAGAAGGCTATTCAATTCCATTCGCAAGAAAACCCCTCTGCCTTCCACTAGCAAAAAAAGTCATGACGACATTTGGCACCAAAGTTTCCCATCAGACGACAAAAAAAAATAAAAGAAATGATGTAGCAGTGAATTCTGGAGGAAGCAAACTGGGATTCAGCATTCTCTCCCCTATGTTTGTGATCCAGAAACCAGACAGAGCTTACAGGTAGATCATCAATTTTAGTTTATTGAACCAATACCTGCATCCTCCCAAATTCTATCTAATGAAGCAACGAAACATTCTGTTGTTTCTCCCAAGGAACAACTTTTTGGTAAAAATCTACCTCTGCCAGGCCTACTTTCACGTATCCTTTGTAATGAACCCCAAATTCATCAGTACAATAGGGAAATCATAAACAACAGGGCAGCCAATCCATTAGAAGCCGAGGGAAGGGAATTACCGGAGGATACCGTAGAGTACCCAGGAGTCATCCGCTGAATAAGTGCCCGGCAAGGGGATATCCCTACCGGTAACGTTTCCTGGAGCGCACCGGATTCAAATGTCACCAAACAAGCCGTCCAGGTAACCCCTTATCAGGACTCCTGGCCATTTGAAGGCCGCCCCGTCTAACGTGGAACAGTTCCCTGGAGTGGAGAACCCAGCGTTCCGACAGAGGAGTCTCATGGGAAGCTGAGGTTCAGTACTATAACCTCAACTTCCCACGCGTGACGAATTAGCGGACCCAATCGATACGTCAGAGAGCGTGATTTCATTCGATAAATATTGTTAATTATTGGTAACGCGAAAATTGCGTTACACGGCAGCAAATGAATTGAAAAATACTGGTCAAGAGATTTTTTAATTTTTGTTGGGTCGGAAGAAAAGGGCCACCAAATAATATAAAACCGAAATTTTCGCGCAAAATTGAATCAGCCGTAATCCAATGTCTACACACAGAGGATTACGGATTAGTGCTCACAATAACGATGGTATAGAAGCAACAAGGATGATAGTGAGAAAATACCTCAGTGCAAAATTAATACTCGAAGTGAACATGCGGCTCACACAAATCATCAGTATGGGCAATGATCCCATGGTGTTCGTGAAATTCTTACGTGATAAAAAAGTGTAGGCAAGTGAGATGAAGTGTCCAAAATGTGGAGAAATGATGACGTCATATGATCAGAAGATGATGTTCCGGTGCATGAAGAGGAGACTCAATGAAGACCCCAGCAAGAAAGTGAAGAAAAGCAAATGTGACACGAAGAAAAGCTCCCTTCACGGATCCTGATTTTCCTAAATACACATCCCCTTGGCAATAGCCGTGCGATTCATCGGTATGTACGTTCTAATGAATCCCCAAAGGCAAGAATTATTTGAGTTCGAACTTGAGTTATCACGATAAACCGTGGTGGACTGGTCGAACTTCACCAGAGAATTAATGATAGATTGGTGCGAGGACCACGCCACCAAGTTAGGGGGACCTAACAGGGTCGTGGAAATCGACGAAACGAAGATCGGCCATAGGAAGTACCACCGAGGACGCATTGTAGGGGGGCAATGGGTGTTTGGGGCGTATGAGAGAGGGAGTAAATCTCTCCTCATCACCACTGTCAAGGACCGGAACCCTTGTTGAAATCATCAAAGAGTGGATTCTGCCCGGAACAACAATCATCTCAGACCAATGGCGTTCATACATCAGCCTAGAACATGAAGAATTTCGGTACCTCACTGTCAACCACTCAATCAATTTTGTGGACCCGGTGACAATGGCACATACCCAAAACATTGAGAGATCATGGAGAGACTTCAAGGACCAGCTCCAAAGGTACGGCACCAAGGAGGAACATTACCACGGATATCTGTGTGAGTACATGTTCAAGCGCAGTGTTGATTTTGACAACAGACTAGACAAGTGTTTAAAAACAATGTCCAAACACCACACAGCCTTGTGAGTAACAGCCGGGAGTTATAGATCCGTTGGCGGCCACTTCCTCCACCGCGCGGGGACAGCCAGGGGGGTGTTGAGCTGTTGGACCCGTCGCGACATTTTTTATATAAACAAATGTAAACATACATATTTTATATTATTAAAATTTATATTAAATGCTGCAGGTGGGCAGTGGAGATTGTCGCAACGAGTACAACGGCCCACATCAACACTGGCACGGCCAGGAGTGCGGTGAAAAGGGGGGACCAACAACGGATCGATAGTGGTTATACAGTCTTTGTGTTATCCCTTGTCTTTAAATGTACCAACATGTGTTATCTTTGGGGCCGACAACCGCCACGTCTCCGCCGTGGCCCTGGGTAACGCAAAGAGCGGTATATAAATGCGCGTAACTTCCACAATTTTCGTTTACGGAAGCTAAATTCGGAAGATTCGGAAACGTCAGGAAAAAAGCTAAAAAACCATCTATAATACATCAAAATCGGGACGGCGGCCCTTTTCTAGACATTTACCACATTTTCATTTTTGCTCTCTTTAGGTGCTAGCGAATTTTTAGTTTTTTGAAGTTTCACGCCTTGGATAGGGGAAAAGTGTCGGTCGCGGGTGTCACTTTCAAAACGGTATAGATGGCTCTCACGACAGGTTTCGGACACACGCACATGCAGATATAGCGTAAGGCAATCTCCGACGAGTTAAGCCTCGGCAAGACCTAAAATATCCATTTTTTTCCTTTCGGGGAAAAAACCATTTCATTTATCTAAGTATTTCCGCCACTGGTCGTCATTTAATTTTTTTTGCCTTCATTAAAGTCCAAAATGAATTGAGCCAACAGGGTCTTGTCTTAATTAAATATGCACACGTTTGAACATAGTTCTCTTATTATTTTGGTAGTTTAGCGCGATTCAAACCTGCACCCTTTTTTTCTCAAAGTGAAGTGCATTTCAAAGTGAACACTGTATTTTTGATTTTCAACTTAATAACTTTCTTGATATCATTTCTATTAAGATTTTCTAATCCAAGAAGTTTAGCATTCACTTTTGGTTTTAGAACAGGAATATTTGAGCGTATTCCTACATTTTTTAATATTAAATGAATGATGATTTAATATGGTATGAGATGTTAACTCAAAAGAATTAATACTTTTACAGGCTAAATAATATGAAATTTACCGGGATTGATGTACATTTACTCCAAAAACTGCTTCAACTACGCGTTTGATGTAGGTTGCGTATTAATTGGTGGGGATTGCAATGATTGCGATGGTGACTGTGTCCACTGATTATTGGAAGCTCTTCGAGGAGTACGTGGAGGAGGATCTTCACATGGACAACAACAGCAACACATGAGACAGAGATCAACGTTGTCAATGCTGCCAGTAGAACATGTGCAGCAGTCAGTGCAAAGGTCATCACAACAGTCATCGTTCTCCATTTTATTCGAACACTAACTAGCAACCATTGGATTTATGTTTCTCAAGTGAGTCTTGGTCTTGACGGTCTGGACTAGTACGCCAGTGGCTCTTTACTGCCAGTCTATTGCAGAATCATGGAATTGTATATAATGCGGATATCATTAGATCCACAGGCACATACCGCGTGTACGCGTCATTACATCAGCAGTTATTTTAGAATACACATGTGATCTATGTAACGCTAAATACCACAACCAATTTCAAGGCTGACCCTGAACTTTACCAATTTTTGAAAAAAAAACAATATGCTCTCCTAAAATATGATCACATAAAAAGCGGAGAATTTACAAAAAAAAACAACAATACAATATGTCGTACATTTCTATTTATTCTGTTCCTCAAAAAAAAATGTTAGCATTTGCAGTTAGTATAAGCAGTGAAAATTCATCAACATGGGATATCTCCCTTTGGAATAATAGACTTTGAAGAATAAATGTATTCCTATGATATTTCATGATTTCTTTTCTGCGTTGATCGCATATTGCAAAAAAATGGAAATTTTATAAAGAGAAATATCATCTTGTGATAATGGTTATCCAATTTTGTTAACTAGTGATTTATGATATACGATGACTAGGTTAGAGAAAATGATTCACACAATCTATTGACACTATGGCATCATTGATCATTATTTATTATCTTTACAACATTTAGCCTATTCCCATTCAGCTCTGATCTAATGAAAATCATTTTATACGAACCATCGCACCGAAAAATGAAGTGACCATTGGACCATTTTTCAGTTTCGTCTTTACACTTTATTTATTCAAATTGACTTGAAATTTTCGTTTGTAATTCATGCAATTTGATTCGAACTTTCAAATATAACCGATATAACCTCTATATCGTCCCCAGAGTTACTGCTCGAAAAACACTAGGGCTCTCTCAGTCTCGTCCAATCGTCCCATGTGCTCTTGCCAAATTCTGGAATGGTTGGATGGAGCTCTCATTCATGATCACGTTGGATCATCCATGAAGTAGAAATTTCAATTTAAACTATTATATGGATATTAGGATAAACGTGAATTTTTAGGAACAACAGTCATTTTTCTACAATGACATTGAACAGTGTATTATTCTTCATAAACCTGAAATTATAAGAAAAAACGTTTTGTTATTGATTCTAACCTCAACATGGTGAAAGAACAGTACCGGGCAACTGATGTAGCTCGAAAAATGTAAGTATAATTGTGATTTTATAACGGAAAAAATGTTTAACTAGAGACATTCGCCCGTCAAACAGCGATTTATTTGGATTTAAAAAAAGTGAGAATGCTATTTAAAAGTTGGAGGTTTAAATCCGGAGAAGCAGGTTTTTCTGTAAAATCAGTTTTTGGATAATTAATTAAGTGAACTCCACTGTAAATTTTATTGCTTAATTTAATTCACCGATTTTAAATGAATGAAGATTTTTTTTAATTAATAAAATTGTGTATTTAGTTCTCATGTTTCTTTCGGAGTGGACAGTCGGCACAATATTGAACGTCAGGCTCACATTCATGTTGTGGCAAAGCCCCTATACACCCAGGAGGTTCACACTCCACTTCCATATGGAGTACTCGACAAGAGAATGGCAAGAAAATATTCCTATTATCACTCACTCTCCATGAATAGAGATGTAATAGTTATCATTGATTACAGGGAACTTGTTCAAATGCAACACCATGTGGCACCTGTGGAAAAAACCTCAGCGATTGCATTGGACACTTTGGATATATCGATCTGGAATTACCAGTCTTTCATGTTGGTTATTTCAGAGCAATCATTGGAATTCTACAAACCATCTGCAAGGTATAAAATTGATATTTTCTAGACTGATTGAATACCATTTTTTTACTCGTGTGGAATCGGAAATTCATTAGACAACCGCCGAAAAACTTTTTCGAACTAATTTTTTAGTTTTCGAATGTGGAAAGTATGCAATATTATACAATGCATCAACAGACTCATTTTTAATTTCAGAAATGCTCGCACGTGATGCTTTCTGAAAAGGACAAAAAAATCTACCTGAACCGAGTGTTGAATCCAAACTTGGGCTATCTAAATCGTAAGGCTCTTCGAAAGATGATCCTCGAAAAAGCCAGAAAAGCCACCACTTGCCCAAATTGTAAGGAGCTCAACGGTGTAGTTAAAAAAGCCGGTCTGCTAAAAATCGTTCATGAGAAATACCGTTCGAAGAAGAAAACTGATCTAATCGTCCAGCACAAACTAGCTGAGTACTCCAACGTGACAAAAGATAACAAAGAAATAGAGTCAATTCTCCAAGCAGGGATAGTCAACGTTCTGAATCCCCTCGATGTCCAAGAGATCTTAGAACGCATACCTGTAAACGACATTCCCCTTCTTCTCATGAATCCCAACTGTGCACTTCCGAGGGACCTAATTTTAACTCGTATCCCAGTTCCTCCCATCTGCATTCGTCCCAGTGTGATCTCTGACTTGAAACCAGGAACCAACGAGGATAATCTTACTATGAAACTTTCAGAGATTATCTTCATAAACAATGTCATTCAGAAACATCGGCAAAGTGGTACTAAAGTGCAAATGTATAACGAGGATTGGGAGTTTTTACAGCTGCATTGTGCTCTCTACATCAACAGCGAAATGTCAGGAATTCCTCTGAATATGCAGCCTAAGAAATCTCCAGGAAGAGGTCTAGTCCAACGATTAAAAGGCAAACAAGGAAGATTCAGGGGAAATTTGTCAGGAAAACGAGTGGATTTTTCCTCTAGAACTGTCATCTCTCCAGATCCCAATTTGAGAATCGAGCAAGTTGGAGTTCCAATTCATGTTGCGAAAATCCTGACTTTTCCTGAACGAGTGAATCCATCGAACATAGAACTAATGAGAAAACTGGTGCAAAATGGACCAGATGTTCATCCAGGTGCTAATTTCATACACCAAGGACGAGCACAATTAAGAAAATTTCTCAGATACGGAAATCGTCAGAAGATTGCACAGGATTTGCAATACGGTGATATAATCGAACGTCATCTTCGAGATGACGATATCGTACTGTTTAATCGTCAACCTTCTCTCCACAAATTATCAATCATGGCGCACAAAGCCAAAGTACTCGAACACCGAACATTTCGCTTCAACGAATGCGTTTGTACACCGTACAATGCTGATTTCGACGGTGACGAGATGAATCTTCATCTCCCCCAAACAGAGGAAGCACGAGCTGAAGCCCTGATACTGATGGGAAACAAATCGAATCTTGTAACCCCAAGAAATGGAGAGTTGCTCATTGCTGCTACTCAAGATTTCATCACTGGTGGATATTTGCTGACCCAGAAGGATACATTTCTCAACAAATCACAAGCCTGCCAACTTGCCTCATGCCTCCTCGCAGGATCAGACTCTTCCATGAATATTGACCTTCCGCTGGCCACTATACTCAAGCCTCAGGAACTTTGGACAGGAAAACAAATCTTTAGTTTAATCCTACGTCCGAACTCCTCTTGCACCATTCTTGCTAATCTTAAAACCAAGGGCCGAGCTTATACTGATGATGAGGAACTTTGCATAAATGATTCTTATGTAATCATTAGGAACTCTGAGCTTATTGCAGGAGCAATGGACAAGTCAACCCTAGGATCTGGATCAAAGCAAAATATATTTTATATTCTTTTGAGAGATTGGGGTGAGGATGCTTCAACCATTGCAATGTGGAGATTAGCTAGGATTGCGAGTTACTTCTTGATGAATCGAGGATTTTCCATTGGAATCGGTGATGTCACACCAGGTCAGGGCCTGCTTCGTGCTAAATACGAACTGTTGAGTGCTGGATATGGCAAGTGTACTCAGTACATTAAACAAATGGAAGATGGACGTCTTCCTTGTCAGCCAGGTTATTCAGCAGAGGAGAGTCTCGAAGCTGTAATTTTGAAGGAGTTGTCAGTAATCAGAGATCATGCGGGTAAGGCTTGCTTGAAAGAGTTACATCGGAGTTGCTCTCCGTTGGTGATGGCGTTATCTGGAAGTAAAGGATCTTTCATCAATATATCTCAGATGATCGCTTGTGTGGGTCAGCAAGCCATTAGTGGACACCGCGTGCCGAATGGCTTTGAAGATCGAGCTCTACCACATTTCGAGAGGCACTCAAAGGTCCCAGCAGCCAAGGGTTTCGTCGAGAATTCTTTCTACTCCGGACTGACACCCACCGAATTTTTCTTCCACACGATGGGAGGACGAGAGGGTCTCGTTGACACTGCTGTCAAAACAGCTGAGACTGGATACATGCAGAGACGATTGGTCAAGAGTCTGGAGGATCTCTGTCTGCATTATGATATGACTGTTAGGAATTCAACTGGTGATATTGTGCAGATTATCTACGGAGGAGATGCACTCGATCCGACTTACATGGAGGGAAAGGACTGTCCTGTCGATTATAAACGAGTTCTTGATCATGTTCGTGCCAAATCCCCGTACAATAAAGAAAGCTCGCTCGATGGCCCTAGTGTAATTAAAGCAACAACCGAATTGTTGAATAAAGAAGAGTACTCCTGTCTATCTGAAGAATTCAAGAACGATTTGGTTATGTTCCTCAAGGGGGTCTCGAGAAAGATTACGAGGCTCAGGATGATTTACAATCCCAAAATCAAGGTTAACCAGCAGCTCGAGAGATTAACGCTGTCGCAGTTGGTGGAGTTCATTCATACGTGCAAGGAGAAATTCATGAGAGCAAAGATTGAGCCAGGGACCGCAGTTGGGGCGCTGGCAGCCCAGAGCATTGGAGAACCTGGAACTCAGATGACACTCAAGACTTTTCATTTTGCTGGAGTGGCCAGTATGAATATTACTCAGGGGGTGCCGAGGATAAAGGAGATTATTAACGCTAGCGCTAAAATTAGCACTCCGATTATCACCACTGCGTTGGAAAATGAAGGGGATGCTGAATTTGCTAGAAGAGTCAAGGGAAGAATTGAGAAGACAACGCTTGGCGAAGTAACTGAATATATGGAGGAGGTGTATCTGCCGGATGATTGCTTTCTTCTTGTCAAATTGGATATTGATAGGATAAAGCTCTTGAAATTGGAAGTTGATGCTGACTCCATTCGAAACTCTTTGATTACTTCCAAATTGAAAATCAATCCTAAAAATATTAGTGTAAGGGGAGAGTCTATACTGACCATCAATCCCAGCAACAAAAAGCATAATCTCAATCATGCACTCATGCTGCTCAAAGACTCTGTACCTGATGTAGTTATCAAAGGGTTGCCTACTGTAGCCAGGGCGGTTATTCATAATGATGATTCTAGTGGAAAGACCAAGTATAAAGTTTTCGTGGAAGGAGATAATATGAGGGACGTCATGGCGACCAGAGGGGTGATGGGATGTAAAACCACTTCCAATAATACTATTGAGGTAATTCTCATTTTTATTATTTTAGTCCCAGTATTACCGAACTCTAGAGCTAAACAAATATATTTCTGCAGTTTTTGTTTCAATTTCTGGTTGTAAGATCTTCATAACGTTTGTTTCATTGCTCCCTTAATCTGGAATATTCCCAGATTATCTGATTGATTTTATTAGCCGTAATAATTTCAAAGCACTTTTTTGGCAAAATTACGACGTGAATAATTTCATTTTCTTTACGGAATTATTGCCGATATCTTCTTATCCTTCACGTTTTATGTAAATTTGTGAGGAACCATGCAAAAGATTGACATGAGAAAATATATAGTTTTTAAGTTTTGTATGTTTTCGCAATGCCTCACAAATTTACAGAGTTATGCGTTTATTTTTCTCAACTTTGAGTAAAGTTTTGTCAATTTTCGCAAAAGTTTACTGAGAAGTTGGGAAAATTCTCCCATCGTGATAAAACTTCGGGAGACATTGAATAATAAATGGGTTAAAAAAGGTAATTTTTTTCATGTTAATTTTATTAACCGTGTATCAATTTGAAAAATGAAAAGATATGAATAATAGTAAATAACTCCTTAATACTTTATCATTTTGGTTTAGATTTTCTTCTCGACTAAAAGCAGATGCACCAAACAATTTATGGAAGCAATATAAAAAATTGTATTATCGTTAATTACAGGTTTTCAAAACATTGGGGATCGAGGCAGCTCGTGCAACTATCATGACTGAGATTAAATTAGTGATGGAGGGCCATGGAATGAGTATCGACCGTCGTCATCCAATGCTTGTTGCAGATCTCATGACTAGTAGAGGAGAAGTCCTTGGAATCACAAGGCAGGGACTGGCAAAGATGAAGGAATCTGTCCTCAATTTAGCCTCTGTAAGTGAAAAACTCATCTCCACTTGCTCGAAAGACCTTTTCAAAATCGTAAATTTCTACTTCTCCACAAATATCTATACAATAATTTGTAAAATTACTGATTTCCTCATTTGCTTGTTCTACTTTTTAAATTTTAGTTCGAAAAAACAGCCGATCATTTATTCGATGCTGCATACTATGGTCAAACAGACGCAATTTGCGGTGTCTCTGAATCAATCATCATGGGAATTCCAGTACCTGTAGGAACTGGAATATTCAAATTACTACATAAATCGGAGAGAAATGAATTGAAGAAACATGAACTCATTTTCGATGATCCGCAGTTTCATACCAGCGGAAAAACGTAGCATTAAATGAATTTTAGGCGTTTCTAGATTAATTAATTGATCTAATTACGGAAGCACTGTAATATATGAAATATTTTCTATTAAATGTAATGGTATTTTCATTCTCTTTCTTCCTCATTAATCCCTCAATACTTATTAGAGGCGCCAAGACCTCCAGTGCAGTCAAACGTGATACACCATCATTTTCAATTTGAGAGTTTCTATTTTAAAAGATATTAATAAAGCTCACTTAGCTAATTAAAAATGAAATTCCTTAATGGTAAAAAAAAATTCTGAACACGAATTTTCAAGTGTAAAATCTAAATAATTGGTAGACATTATCGAGGAATAAAAACATTTGTTAAATTTGCATTCAATTGTTTATTTAGGAAAGTTCATAATATTTGTTTTTGGAACTAAATAACGCAGTCTTAAGAGGAAACGACTGATTTTTCATTTTGATGTTTCTAGGCGTAATTGAGGAATGAATGAATAATCGAAAATTATTTGTGAAATTAACCGATTAATCAAGGTTACTAGTGTTGAAAGCATGTGAGATTTATTGTTATGTTTTCATTTCAAAGGGTCAGTAATAATAACGCGAACCGACAAAAAATGTTGAATAAATAATGGATAAGTTGCTATGGTAGCCGCAATTGTTTGACCTAAATATTAGTGATTATCTTCAGTGCTCTTCAATCAGGGGGGAAAACTTTTTTACTAGTTTAGGGTGATTCTGCGAGCAATTCAAATAAACATTCTTGGAAGTTTTTTTCAAATCGCAAGTGCTTTTTTCTCTTTCTTTCGTCATAATTTTGTATAAAATAAGAACAGACAGATAATTCGTAGATTTGGGCAAGAGCAATGGTAAATCAACGAGAATTTTGGGCTGAAATTCATAAGAATAATCCAAAGTACAAGAAAAAACCGAGAGTTGTACCGGCATTTACTATTCAAGCACTTCAGGTGAGGAGATTACTTGATGAAAGGCCACACGAATAAAAAAAAGAAAGTCCCATCCATTTTTAAAATGAGTTTTCGAGAAGTATTTTGGCATTGCAAAGAGACACGTTAGGATTTTTTTATTTCATCAAATTTTCTCAATATAATCAATCGCAGATTTTTTTTGTTGAATCTCACCAAAATTTTCTAAAAAATTGATTCGAACAAAATTTCGTCCACATTCTATCGTTAGCCATTAAAATAACTGATAAATAGATGGATCTCTCTATTGATTATTGTTATGGCGTTGAGGGATAACTATTGATTATGTAGGAATATTATTAGGAAAATACAGTGGTAGCGAAACCTCCGAAATTTGGTGTGTATAAGCCTGTGCCACCGAAACCCTCCAGCTTCAGAAAGTTTTACGAAAGAGGAGTTTTCCCTATTTCAATGGAAAAAGAAGGAGCACCGATTACATGGAAAGTTAACATTGAGGACTTGGACTTTAGACATTACTTGCCAATGTTTTTTGATGGATTGACTGAAACTGAACATCCTTACAAGATTCTTGTCGAACAAGGGATCTCAGATATGTTAGAACACGGAGGGCCGAAGATATTGCCAGTTGTTTCGCAGTTGATTATTCCTATAAAAAGTTGGTAACCCAATTAAATAATTGACAACTTTATCAAATCCATTAATAGATCATCTCTCTCAATTAACATTCTTTAAATTGATAATGGAACTGACTTCATTGATGTTAACAAAAATTAATGGCAATATGAATCTTCTCCACAACTCAAATAATTGACATAAATCATTTTTCGGAAACTGTAGATATTTTAATATTTTTTTATAATTCATAATATTCTTCCATTTAGACGCATTAAATACAAAAATGCCCGAGATCATTTGCACGACAATGAGAGCACTTCAACAACTTGTTCGCTCAGCTGATTGTGTGGGTGAATGTCTTGTTCCATACTTTCGACAGATATTACCTATTCTCAATCTCCTAAAAGACCGGAATGGTAATGATATCAACAATGCTGCCAAGTACTTGATGAATTTTTCCAAGTAATAATTCTTCCATGAATCGAATTTTCCAGTAAATCTTGGAGAAGGAATCGATTATTCACAACAAAAAGGAGAAAACCCTGCAGATCTTATTCAAGAAACTTTAGAAATCCTTGAAAAATATGGAGGAGAAGATGCCTTTATCAACATTAAATACATGATACCAACCTATGAATCCTGTATGATGAATTAAAAAATACTCTTCCAAAACATAGACATAATTCTCTATTTTAAACTTCTTGCTACAACGACTACAAAATAATTCTTCACAAGATGTAGAAAAACATTTACGTAGAAAACTTTCTTGAAGGTAACTAGAACAATTTACAATCCTTTATCATACAAGAGTAATGATATAAATCACATAAAAGCAAAGTTTGACAAAAAAACATTGAAGACCTTCTATCTAAATAGGGGACTTTTTCCAAATTAGTATGTAATGAAATATTGACTCGAGGAAAAAACCTCACATTTTTCCATGGAACCAACGATTACTGTATTCTTTGCACTTCATAAAACAAACATGTGTTTCTCAAATACTTTACCACTTCAATAATAATATCGTCATTGTATGGATAAATTCGAGCACTTCATATAATTTGCAGTTAGACTCGTTGGAGTTTTTAGTTACACCTTGCCAGCATCTTCTTTCAACGTTACCGTCCTGTTGAAGACCAACTGAAATACAACAAGAATAATTATTTAAAGAAGGACGTTAATTAATCATGAAAGATATAGTCATAAAATTGGATTGGAATCCGATTGATTACCATTCCTGGCTTGGTATCAGGATCAACTGAAAAGAATCCAACTCGTTCGAACTGGAACTGATTGAACGGCTTGGCGATGGCTTCGAGACTTGCATCAATGTATCCCACAACTTGTTTCTTACTGTCTGGATTGATATCACTGAGGAAGCCATTGGGAACTTCGTTCGTATCCTCAGGATTTTTATGATTGAATCTGAAATGACAAGAAATCATTCACTTATTAAATAAATTTGCCAACAATTATGCAAATGTCTGAGAGCTTATTAGACTCTAGAGAAAATGTTCTTTGATATTCTTTCTTAAATATGTACATAAAATTTTTTCAATTTTCTCTTATTCTCTGCTGAATATTTAAGGTAACAAAGAGTTATCAGGACTTACAAGCGTTCGTAGAGGCGAATTGAGATGAGTTTTGGTTTTGCAACCCAGTGAATGAACGCCTTGGGCTTATTTTTCTCAGTTAGTGATTCTTGCTTTACGACAAGACCAGTAGTTTTTCCACTCTCGTCTTTCTCGATTTTCTGCAGAGTCAGAACGAGACCCGCGTATTTGAGACCAACAGACTGTTTTGGCGTTAAGCGACGGAAACCTTTTTCCTCTTCCTGTAATCGTATAGTTGATTAATTAATTTAAGAAAATCTGTGACTCCCTTGCAATTTTTTCACATCGCTGTAGCATTGTAACAAAAATTTCAGGTATTAAATGTCAGAGTCATGACCTCAGATTGTATTCGAAATAAAAGAAATGAAATTGGGAAGCTCATTAATGTTTAATCTACTACTTACTCCGGCTTATTATGATCCTTTGTATCACAAAATTCATCTTGAGAACAATTTATTACAGCATTATTTTTTACAAGAATATTTTTTCCCAATACTATCCTTATCATTGTTTAGAGTTTTCCTCATTACTTACTATTGATTCTTATTTCGAATTCTCAATGTTAAGGTTAAATTAATCTCTGTTCATTCTCAATTGGTTCAATTGTTCTTCCATTCTTTTACTGAATGCGCGAGTTTCCCGGAAAATAGCAATTTATACATTACCATTGACTTTTTCCATAGTTCAATTAATTGAGGAAGGTATTAATTATTGGATTAATGATTATTAATTTATGCTGAACATGCTCATGTTAATTATAAACTCGCTCAATAGTCAATATTAAAGAAATAGTCGACCTTCTCTCAATTAAAAAAGAAATTGAGAAAAAAGTAATAATAAACATCATTGTTATAATTAAAGTAAAAAAATGTTTATACTTGAAAATAGAAATAGCCTGTAAACGAAAAAATCGAATATAAGTTTCAGAAAGTCGTCAATGGGCTAATTAAAAGTTGCGAAAAAGTCGAAGTTTTATAAAAAAATGTGAAAATTACCTCTTTGAAGTCAGAAGCCTCGATGTAAATAATTTCATCAAATTCCACATGATGATGTCCCCTTTCCACTTCAGTAGGAAAATCAGGCACCTCGAAGCGTACCCCTTCGGCATCGGTCTGCCCATCCCTTTGGAAATTCTCAATGGTTACTTTCAACGGATCGAGCACAACCATATGTCTGCTGGCTTTCACATTCAGCACATCTCTGACAGCAGCTTCTACTACCATGGGATCAACGACAGCCTGAGCACCAGTCACTCCCATTTGAGCACAAAAATTATTGATAGCCTCTGGAGGAAAGCCTCTTCTTCTTAAGGCAGTCAGGGTGAACAATCTAGGATCATCCCAATCACTAACGATCCCTTCGGTAATCAACTTTGCAATTTTCCTCTTTGAAACGACAGTGTAACTGACATTCAAACGGCCATACTCCCATTGTACTGGACAGTAAACTTCCAAAACATTGCAAAGCCAGTAATAAGAGCTCCTCCTAGTCTGGAACTCTTTAGTGCAGAGTGAATGGGTGATATTCTCGATACTATCACAAAGGCAGTGTGTAAAGTCATAAGTTGGATAAATGCACCATTGATCGCCAGTCCTGTGGTGAGATGCGTATTTTATCCTGTAAGCAACTGGATCCTGTTTACCCTCTTCTAGGGTACATTTCATCCTTAGAGTTGCTTCTCCCTCTTCCATTAAGCCATTCTTCATGTCCTGAAATAGCTGAAGGCTCTCAGAAATTGGTCGCTCTCGCCAGGGGGACGGTGGAGGATTGAATCCTTTCATATCTTCGCTTTTTTGGTGACAAACATAGGCATGGCCCTTAGAGATTAGCTCAACTGCCCACTCATAAAGTTGTTGGAAGTTGTCCGACGAGTGGGTAATTTTGGCGGGTTTGTATCCCAACCATTCCACCATCTCGCGAATACCGATAAAGAATTTCTCCTCTTCTTTCTCAGGATTCGTGTCGTCATAGCGGAGGTAACAAATACCTAAGAAAAATTAATGGAATTATTTTATCGAAAAAGAATTACGAATCTCATAGATGTAAAAGATCGTCATCGTAAATTATGATTTATTTCCATATTCATATTTTTTTCGTAAATATTCGTTAGATTCTTTCAAATATTTTTCAATTTCATCCAAATGTTTCTTCAATACAAGATCAATAGGTGATGGATTAGCAACAATAATTCCAATAAATCAGTAATAACTAAAACATTATGCAATTTGTTTACCGTTCTTCGCCGCTGCGTATCCAAAGTTAATGTTAATGGCTTTGGCATGTCCAATATGTAAGATTCCATTGGGTTCTGGAGGAAATCTAGTAATGACTAAACCTTTAGTAGTCTGCAGATGCTCCTGGAGTAATCTGTGAGTGTGTGGGGTAACAACATACCCCTCGGTCTTGTAATTCTCTCCAGGTTTATGAAACTGAATCTTAGCCATCACTTCTGTAATTGTTTTGGCTGAGTCCCGCGATGCATCGTCGGAGTTCTTTTCATTTTTAGACTTCTCCACCTTTCCATTCTCTTTCGAAACATTGTCCTTTTTGTTTGAATTGTCTTTAACACTCTTTTCAGATTTGGATTTTTGCTTCTGCGGTTTAATTGGTGTGAGATCTGCATCGGTTTTAGGACCAAGGATGTCTAGGATCTGGAGGTCTACTTCATTTTTTATCGCTTTCCCATCCGCCCATTTCAGGATGCTACGGACTTGCTGCATCATTGGACCTGCGTTGAATTGGTACCGTTTGCTTTTTATTTCATCAAGGTGCTTCCTGATGAGGGTTTCGACTGAAGCTTCAATTTCTTCTGGAGTGACTATGATTCCAACGCCACAGGCAGCCTCGAACTCTGCGATATTGATGGTGGTATGAATAGTATCTAGAAGATGAGACAGTGCAGCGTCCACTCGTTGGATAGTGTCGAGCTTCTTCTGAGAGATGTAGCTGGAGAGAAAGGCCAGTTTGTCCAGGATTTGAGGTTTGATTTTAGAAGCAAGGTGATACAGCAGAATGCCGATCTCTGGAGAAATTTCTGAATTACTTTCCTTTGCCTGTACGGACCAAAAAGATCATGGATAAATATTATTCGGATATTTGTTAATTGTTTTGCAAAGAGTGCAAAAAAAAGTTACAAGTTTGCCCTCATTAAAATGCATTTGCGGATAAATAAAAAAGTTTTAAAAATTTTTTGGAGATGAGAATATACAATATGTATAGGAACACGAATACGGAAATTTCTTTGATGTATTGCTGACTGTGCAATTCATGAGAGTAATCACAAAGAGAAATAATCGATTGAGGAAATAATTATGAGCAAATAAACCATGAAAAAACGAAGAGCTCCGAAAAAAATGCGCACAGTCTTTTCATTTAATTATCTTAAAAGGTTGTCAATAACCGATTGCAAATTACTTCGAACTTAAAAGTTCAAGGAAACATTCTCATTTCAGAAGTGAAAGATATAAAATCTGAAGGTGAACGGATTGAAGAGAAGTTGATAAGTCTTTAAGCGATTTTTTACATCACAAAATTGCTAGTGGAGACATTTTTATAGATTCGTTTTAGACAAATTGTTCGTACATGAAGTTTTTATGCGCCGACCATTCAGCAATATTCTCGTTCCTCATGAACAAATTTTAACAGATATCGACGAAAGAAAAATTTCCAACTACACAAGAGATTCAATATTCACCTCCTTGATGGCTGTTTTTAAATTTTTGGTGACCTGAGCATTTTTCAATGTCTCCTGAGCTTTCTGTTCACTGAGGCCAATCGAAACCAACAACTGAACATCGTCCTCCATTCTTATTCACTTCCTTGCAACAACAAATAAATAAAATGTGTTACGAACAATACGGTTGCGATCACCTTTCAACCTACAATAGTCGCAAGAATCAGAGGTTATCTCAATTTACCGGGAATAAATTCCACGTTTTCTTAGTCGTATCAACTGTCTGCGCGCGCATGTGGAATATTTGGTTGTATGAGCAAATATTATGAACAATATAAAACTTTTTCAGTCCTTTGTCAAATATTCGCTTATCATCGAAGACAGCTTGCGGCAATTATCTAGTAAACAATTTTATTACGAAAATGTCAAACACTTTAATTTTCATTTCCGATATTTCGTAATCCATCGATATTGCAATTGTCTAATTTTACTTGAAAATTACGTCATTTACACTGATGCCATTACAAAAAAGGTAATTAATGAATTAATAATATGTCTCCGGATACATTGAAATTATCAGGAAAATAAACAATCGATATTGTTATTGTGAGGTATCCAATCCACGTCTATGGAAATCCATACACGTCAGCTATATTCATATTTCAAATTTAGAGTTCAAAAATTTGTGTTTTGACCTAGACAAAATTTTTAATTTTCAATGTTGACCTTTGAATTCTCGTGCTTTAACTTTGAATTTGAATTTTTAATTTTTCACTTGTTTTTACAAAAACCAAAATTCTTCAATGACTAGTAACGTTGTCGTACCCAAATTTGAACATTGAAATTTGAAATTTGAACAAAAAATACGACCAATATCACAAATATGTACTGTGAATATGTAAATAAAGGGATAAATAAAGGTTCTGAGGGACGAGAACATCTCGACGTTTCAGATGATTCCCAATCGTATGAGTATACATTTGCAAAACATTTTTTCCCCAATTTGTTTAAAAATATTTCGAATTCGTTAACAAAAAAGGTATCGTTGAAAAAACTGGTTTCGAGAGACCAGAAAATCTAGGCGTTTCAGGCGATTCTCGGTCGTTTGAGTATACATTCGCAAGGCATTTTTTCCCCAATTTGTTGATCAATTTTTCGAATTTATGAAAGTGAACGCATTTTTCATTCCGTCCGTCTGTTGTTTCTCTATCATATCTGCACTCCGCTTTATATTGGATGTTTTCGTTCGTCACGATTTCGTCGAATTATGGACCTTCTCGGGTCCGCGCTCTGCTTAGGAATACCTAAGCCCGGTCTTCCCGAATTATCGACACTCTCGGGCTCGCTGTCTGTCTTATCCATACTCACGGACTCTGAAAATTATCGACACTCTCAGGCCCGCGACCTGCTTTACTTACAGGTACGGGCTCTGACCATGTTGAAGGTTTTGTACAGGCGCTGGCAATCTCCCTTATAATCTCTGGTGATACTGCCCAGTGAAAGTGAATCCTTCGTTCAGCAATGATTCAACACTGAAAAAATTGTAAAAATCACCAAGAAAATATTCCACAAGTGGAAGTTACTGATAATGAATCACCATGAGGTTAGGAGATCCCTAATAACCTTGGACATTCAGTAACTGCATTGACACTGGTCGGATAACCTAGTAAAATCTCATCTCTATCGGATTGATGCAACTGATAGCATTGCTCTTCATTAGTGTCATTCATTGATTTCCAAGTTAGAGAGTTTTTATTTTGGTATAAAAATGTCTTTGGAAAGTTTATCGGAGAATAGTTGTAGACTGTGTGCCGAGGAGAAGGTGGAGATGCTTCAGATTTTTGGTGATGAGGGCAAACAGAGAAGAGTCGCTCAAAAATTGAGGGTTTGTTTACCGGTAATGGTTTACAAAACCGATCCTCTGCCTAAAAAAATCTGCCAATTCTGTGCTGCCAGGCTGGATGATGTTTTTGAGTTCAGGGAATACTGTCTCAATGTATACCGGAAAATGCATGTCAAGTTGTTGGCCAGAAAGCAGGTGAATTCTGTCAAGGTATTTTTGGATGCCATGACCAATTCGCCCGATCCTTGTCAGGTAAACCCTCTTCTCTCTTCTTTCTCTCTATACTATTCGATACTATTTACATTACATCTTTTTCCTTCATTACCTATTAAATTTCCCAACCACTGATACAAGAATTGATGGATTCTCTAATTTATCATGTTAGTCAGTAACAATTTACTTGTTAAACATGTCTAAAGGAGAACATTTTTTAATGCAATTGAACAATCCTTCAAATGAAATCGCTTTTGGGAATACAAATATTTTGTAAATGAAACTTTATCAAGAATTATTGCATCCCTGAATTTTAGAATGATTATCGTAATATTATTATTAGTTTATGAAACAATTAATTTTTTATATTTTATTACTGAATAATATATACAGCAAAACGCGGTTGAATGAAAATCCTCAGCACAGAATTTTATTTATTAGATTAGATAATTAAAATAAAGTGCGTATGGTACAAATATTTATTATCTCTTCCTTTTCTCTTTTATTCGTAACTCTGTATATTGATTATTGAATTATTTACAGGCGCAATTATGTATGATAAAGTCTCGAGCACCACCTCCCCTGGTTCCTTTACCAGGATCACTGCCATTACCTAGTCCAGTTTCTTGTGAACCTAGAGAAACCGTAGGAAGTCTCGAGCCGTTATCAGAATTACCGTGCGAGGTACAGATCAAGGAAGAATTATCTCCGACAAGCAAAACTCAGTCAGTCCTTATTGATGACGACGATGGAAGTTCAGATGGAAAAGTCGAACCGAATTGTCAAGAAACCGATGACATTGACAGTGATGACATTGAGAGAAATGGAACAGAGTCTGATTTGAAGGGAGAGAAGAAAACAAGCATCTTGGAACAAGTGCTCACTGGAAATTTGACTATTAATGATTGTAAAGAAATGTCCCCAAATAGCAAATTGAGTTCCAAGTGGTGGTGCTCTCCTTGCAACAGTTATTACAGGTATTTTCTATCAAATTGTTCTATCCTCTGGGGGATTGTCATTAATGAATTTATCCAACAATAAATAAAAATTTACGTTGAGAATTCGGAGGCAAGCATTACTAAAAATGAAAAACAAAATAACTGAGTAGTAAAAACGATTGTACTATAAATGTTTATAAGCATTCAATGAAGTACTTGTTTTTTTTTATTTATAGAACGAAAGAGAGTTTGATAAAGCACATACAACTCCATTGTCCACGTAAATACTCCTGTGGTAAATGTGCCCTCATCTTTCCAACTGTCGAAGATTTAGCAAAGCACGAAGGCGCTAATCATTTGAAAGTAACTCTTGACTTTGACGAATCAGTAAAACAGTGTCATGGTTGTGATCGTGAATTTGTAAGCTGGGAAATGCTGAAGCATCATCGCTTGAGGGATCATCTTGCCAGTTCCATTGAGCTTGGAACCGACACTTGGTGCTCCCTGTGTAATAGGTAACTAGTGCCCACACACACAATTCAAATATTATCTTAAGCCTCGAGGTGAGATTACATTAACAAATCGTGGAAAGATGATCAAAGTGTAAGCAAGCTATTCGCTATTCTTCTCTGGCGTTATTCGAGAATACAATTATGTGCATCCTAATGATGAAAATTCACCGTAAATGATAAATTAGAATATTGTTGGATGTAATCTAGCTTCAGGCTATGACATAAAGAAGAGTGATATATACCGAGAATTCGAAAAGACCAGTTATGTAATTCTCCATGATAATAACTTTTTGTGAATTATCCTCAGACGACAATTGAACGCAATTGCTGAAAAGATATTTAATTTAAGATATTATTTAATGGCCATTTTTTTCATTGATGAACGTCTTAATTAAATCCCAAGAGGATTCCACTGGATTGAGGTGCAAAAGTTCATTTGCTTTGTTTTGCAGATTTTTTCCAAATGTTGAACTATATCAGAGTCATGCCCAACTCCACGAGTCTGGAGATCTTCCAGATCGAATACTAGAGACTCCAGGAGGATTGGAGACTTTGCCAAAAGCTCAAGAAGACCTAGCACGGCTGAAACGTGAGCACTTCATCAAGAGTATCAGATCATTGACGTGCCCCACCTGCGGAAAGGTAAATTCCACAAATGCACTTATACTGTTAGTTTTCAGTAGAACTCAAATTACTTTGATTGATTCGAACGATTGGGATTTAGGTCTGCACGCAACAGAGTGCTTTATCTAACCATATGCGCACTCACGAACCAAAAAAACACAAGTGCGAGGAATGTGGTCGATCCTTCGGTCTACTGATACGTTTGGAGACTCATAAATTGAGTGAACATAATGAGAAGACTAGAATTTCACCAGCTTTGACTAGTGTCGAGCAAGAAGAAGCTTTGAATGCTGAAAGAGAGGCAAGGGAGGCAAGAGAAGCTAAATTAAGGAGTAGACCATACAGTGAGGTAATTACGAAATTAATGAATTTCTATTGTTTCCTAACTATGATTATTAATGGAAAATAAGTTGATAATTAAAAATCATAAGTTTTTTAACCCGCAGCTCAAGAATTATCTCTTTTTTTCCAATAAATGCATCTATAATTTCCTTATTAACTAAAACAATTAAATAATCACGATAAATTTCATAAATATTTTTAAGAATTTACCAATTATTATCACGGTCTCAGAATTATTATTAATTATGAGAAGAATTTTTAGAAGTTGTTTATACTAAAGACATTTTCCTGAAATTTGATATTTTATATTTGGTAATTTCCTTGCGAACTGATAAACTAGGATAAGTGCATTTTTTTCTAGGCCAGTTTTTACCCGATATCCGTAAATTGAAGGAAGATAACAATTTTTTCGTAAATATGTTTTTTGTAGGTGTTATGCTTTTCTATAAAAAACGTTCATCTAAAAAATTCACTATCTTCTTGCCATTCTGAGATATCGATTAAAAATTGGGCTCGAAAAAAAAACTTATCCTAATTTACTACTTTGCTACTGAATTTTCATCCGTAATAGTTTTAAACGATACATTAAGGTTTAATTGGTTTATTTTCAGATTTTAGATTCTGATGGTGTTGGGCTGGATGATCAACCTCCGGCAAAAAGACAGGCAACGAATTCCTCAAAAAACGTTGCCAGATGTGGAATTTGTGAGCAATGGTTCACAGACCACACAACTATGCTCAATCATTTGCAGACACACTCAGATAATTTAACTGCTAAGAATTTCACATGTGCTGTATGTAGGAAGAGTTTCAAAGAGAAATGGCAACTACAGAGACACGAGGTAATGGACTGTCAATTTATTGATTGTAATATACGAATTATAAATTGATAATTGGAAATGAAACCATTTGGCTTGAATTTGCAGATGTCTCATAAGCGAATGAAAAATTCAACCCCCGATGAAGAGCTCCAAGACAAGGTGCACATTGTTGATAAGACATTTCATTGCCAAAAATGTAACAAGATATTTTTCAAAGAATTTTCACTCGTCACTCATCAATGCATGAATCAGAAGAGATTCAAGTGTCCAAAATGTCTGACTTTCTTCGGGACCTGGCAGGCTAGAGCTTCACATATGAGATTACATTCATCTTCAGCGAAGGTATATTCAGCAAATTAATTAAATATTTCCGTGGATCATTAAATGAATATTTTGCCTTTTCGGGCGATTTTTCAAATAATCGTTTCGGTCGGTATGGTCATTTAAAGTTAAAAATTAAAAAAGAAAGTTAGAACAGTTTTTTATCCCTTCGAATTTCGTATAGAATTATATACTGCGAAAATAATCGTATGCCTAAGAAAAATTATCAGTGAATTCATTCTATTTTACAGATATCATTGCAAAAAGAGTTTGAAGGCGATGGTGTTGAACCAGTGATGGAACCCCCTCCAGAAACCTCTTCCGGTACCTCCCTTCCATTTCTGGAGCCCAAAGTCGAGATCAAAGAGGTTGAAAATTCTTCAGCCCCTATGAAAAGAACTCTAATCAAAACAGCGAATGGGTATGACTCAACCTTTACCATATAATTGAGTATCAAAGTGATAAAACGATTCATCAATTATACAAAAAGGCTAGAAATGATTGCTTTTTAATGCTGTTGTGTTATGACTCCGACGTTATCTTCTTTTTTTCTGTTATTTCAATTTCAATCTTTGACACGAATATTCATTAATTTTGATTTTTTATTTCAATGCACAGAAACCTCGAAAAAGTTATGGATATGCAGTAGAATCGTGCCGTAATGATATTGATTTTGGAAGTTAATTGAATCGTCAGATCAGTTTTATCACTTTTTCACTCAACTGTCAATTAATTCCATCACATTCATTAATAATAACTCATTCTCATCGCAGATATCGTTGTGGCGTATGCCAATCGCCATTTGTCCTTCGTGAATTGGCTGTGGCTCACCTGAGATCAGCCCATCCAAGAATCACCCAATACACATTCAGTCATCACATCAAAACTGATCATCCTAATGAGTCTGAGAAATAACATTAAATTATTGTCATTATATTGGGTGAAACATGTAATTTTTCATAATTCGGAGATGAGTGGTAAAATTATTGATTTATTTCTGCAACATTATTGAATTGTTTCAATAAGAAGCATTGGGCAGAAATATTTTACAATAAATGTCATTTCCCACAATACAATTTTACCACTTGACTACGCAATTGCTAAGAATTGTATGAAACAATTTTTATATTTCAGACGATCTAATTGAATTAAGTCATGTTCCTATAAAATAAATGAATTAACTTATCGATTGAAGAACGGAATAGATTATTGATTATAGATTACTGTTACTGTCTCATTCTTTTTTATTAAATAGATCCGCCATTGAGGGTAAAAATAATACTGATAATTGACAGTATTGGAAAGTGTCTTTTTGCTGGATAATGTAAATAAATACTAGTATTTATCCAGGTAATGAACACAGCTTTATCGATGAAAATTATATTTTTTTATATTTATGATAATCACTGAGGGTAATTGAACAGCGGTTTGAAGTCATACTCCATATTTACCATTAACGATAAGAAAATAATAATTTTAAGGTAGCAAGTAACTGTTTAGTCATGTGTGAGAAATAATTCCCAACCATTTGCTCATTTTTTCAAATCATTTCAGTTATGATTACTTCAATTAAACTTTCTGAAAAGCATCCAATTTTTCATTTTTGCGCTTTTTTGCTTTTGTATTCTTTGAAGACGATGGGAGCGATTAATTAATATATGAAAAACTTTTATAATTATTCTATAGGATTTTCAAAATTTAATGTATTCTTTAATTCCATTAAAAAAGTTATTGGCGAATTAAATTGAAAGTTTTCTTTAATTTGTGGAATTGGATTCGTAATTGAGGAACGGCCATTGTTTATTCATTAACTAAACATCGTACAAAACATCGTACAAAAAAACGAATAATTGTGGGAAGCAAATAAATAAAGAATTGAAGAAACAAATATGAATTTATGTGTATAATTTATTATTGATTCCTTATGGCTTTAAAAAAAAAGCCATTCAAATGATGTTAGCATCACATCGAAAGCATGTCAAATCCAGCTGATGTGTTTTTGCCTAGAGTTTTCTACTTTTACGTGGGGAAATACCTTGAATTGGTAGGCAGAAGAAATACACCGTGAAAAAATAAGCTAACACATTTTAACACATCCAAAACGTGTTAAAACCCACCTAACTTAATCGACCAAAGGAAAATGAAGATTGGTTTATTTCGTCAAGGATGTTCCCTTTAATTACGAAGTATTGGAAAATTAAAAATTGGCGCCACTGAAATTGCTGGTGCGTCGGAGTGGGAGAAACAGCTGCGTAGCTCCGGTGCTGCGCAGGTTGTCCCAAATGTTTACATTCATCTTCCACCGAATGCATTTTTCATTGTATGTACGCGCTTCCTCTTCACAAACATTGGCAAACAATTCCAAACCCACAATGACAATTGCCTGTAATATCTGAACAACAAAGAAATATCCCACAACCTCAAAAACTCAAGTGAATTTGTGTATATTGATTTGGTTCAGTGCTCCAAAAACATAAAAAAAAAAACATGGGTGGTTATGTGAGTAAAATAGCGTGGATGTCAAATGCAGCAGTGAATTCGGTTGTTCGTGGCCGAAAGAGAAAATGTATCGAAGAAGATGATTGTGATTCAGACTCGGATTTTATTGACAAAACTTTACAAACTCCAAAAAGGTGAAAAACCCGAAATGAAAAATCATGTTTTCATTATATTTTTATCTAGTCATAAATCCCCGTTTTTTAAATTTATTTATCTCCTTTGTTATCATCCAGTACTAGTCATTATCAGTTGAACCTGTCAATAAATCTTAACTTTATCAGGGATAGCTCTTAATCATGAATAAATTTCTGAAGTGGATGGTTAATTCCTCAATTAGTGAATGGATAAATTGCTGATTATTGAAATCAATTTTTATTGTGCTTTTCTGCTTCCTTTTTGTTTAATTCCGTAATCGTACGATGTGAGCATTTATGAACGTTTGATTGAGCCATTTCTTTTTCTGTGACGATGATGTCATCGGTCTAAACTCTATAGTTATTGGATGTGGAGAACATCTTGTGTAATTCTCAAAAGTTTTTGGTTTATTCAGCCATTCTTTGAAATGTAAAAAATATGGATTTTTAATTTCTGTTTTATGTTTGTTCTAATTTTTCATTCTTGTCCTCTAATCGTTGTGAATAAACCCTCACCTCCAAAAAAAGGTGAGTACCTGAGAGTTTCCGCTGAAGGAGCGGAACATCAAACGTCCTATCATCGTAATTTTTTATATAAGATGTCGTAACAAAAAACATTTAATTCAATTTTAAAATGTTTTGGAATCCGTTTATCTCGTTATGTTCTATCGTAAAAAAGACATGAGATAAGAATGATTTACTTTCGGCATTCTTGAAGAAGGCACATCTGATAAATATGGAAGATAACAACGGAATATTCAGCTATTTTCATAATACATCAAATTTCCCCTAATCTATTTTTCTTTTAATTTCAATGATGTTGTTTATTTTCTCCTATTTTTTTTCAGAGTGAAAGTTGAAAATCTGTTTGCACGATTTAGATAAGTTGCGGAACGATAAATGTTAAGATCTTAACTGTCAACTTATTCTGCTATTTACAGGAAAAAATTATTAACAACTGCCCAGTATATATACAAAACCCTATTTCAAGAGGAAAAAGCTAGTGATATAACAGTTTTCATCTTGGGAAAACCATGGAGGCTACACAAAGTTTATATAAGTCAAGTATGTATTATTCAGTTCCTTACCGAATTTTTTTACCAAAATTTTTCGGGGTAATTTGAATGTATCATTTTTTATTCAAACTAAAATCATCGAAAATAAAATACTCTTGAGACTATGAAATAACATTTTGATTGAAAAAATAAATATGGTGACTAAAGGATTGATCGATTTATTGATTGAATCACTGATTTTTTATTTTAAAGTCTAGTGTCAAAAAGTTATCAAGCATCTAAACAATGTTTATCTATTCCATTTCTCTTTCATATAATGGATTTTTAAAGTCGAATGGCATTAAGAATATTATAATTCCTTTCAATGTTATATTTTTTAGAGTCCTTATTTTGCGAGCATGTTCTCCGGCTCGTGGAAAGAAGCACATCAAAAAATTGTGCATGTGGAGCTTGCCGATCCCAATATAAGTCGAGAATGTAAGTAAATAAAACCAAAATTTGAATAATTGAAGATTAAATATTGATATTATGACGGAAGGTATAAAGAAAATTCGTATTGTAGAGGTTGTTTGCAGTTGATTGGCGCTTGCGTAGCATTGAAAAGTGAAAGTAATTCTTTTCTCGGATTCACACCGTCTTACGTACGAGTGACCTACTTATCTACATTTAGATACCACTTCTTATGGGAATCCCTTTAATGCATACCACTGTTTTATTTTAGTTTTCTCATTTTCGACTCTAAATATGTTATTTTAAAATCATATCCATGTCTACCTTTTTCTCTCTTTTTTTTGCTTTTCTTCTTAACGATCGTTATTCGGTATTATTTGAATCAAACTCGAGCTAGAGGATTATTACATGATTATTTTTTAAAAATTTTATATTTTTCATAAAAATATCTGGAAAATAAGGATAAAATATTAAGGGTAATAAAATTGGATTCAAATAATTTAATCAAGTCCCATACATTATACTTTAATTTATTACTTGGAATCGAATCGATTGCTGATAAACCAATAGTCGTAAATGGAGTTGTTACAATAGAAAAAAATTCTTTATTGGAAAATGAATTGTTTATAAATTAGTAATGGGATCGGTCATAATCTTTGATAACCATTAATTATCCATTAATTTAAAAGCATTCTCCAAACACGTGCCCTTTAACCTTGGAATTCTTAAACCATATCATCAAGTTAATCACTAAAATACTAAATAATTTTTTCTTTCAAAGGTATCTCTAAAGAGTTTTGGGAAAATTAATTTTTAACGTTTTTTACGCAAGTTAATTTTAGTTAATTCTACTCCTCTCATTTCAATCCAGCACGAATTTCCAATACATAAATTTTCTTTCAGCTCTTTCAGTCGTATTAGGATCATTCTACCAGGACGAGGTCAGTCTCGAGCCCAAAGACGTCATTTCGATTTTAGCAACGTCAACAATGTTCCAGTTACAGGGGTTGATTGATCAGTGTACCGAGATAATGATCGAAACGACAAATATAAAGACCGTCGTACCTTACTATAATGCAGCTGTATCCTACGGTGTTCCAGCAGCTAAGAGAGCAGCAAAGAAATGGTTGGAAGTCAATCTTCTTGGCTATGGCTGGAGATTTCCCTCATTCCTGAAGGAATTGACGCCTGATATTATGGTGGAATTGATTGAAAGCCCTGATTTAGTCGCCTGGCAGACGGAATTTTGTATTTACATGATGTTAAGAGAATGGTAAAACTTGTTAAATCAGTTGTTATTCAATTTATCATCCTCAACCGTCATTAACTAAATTCATGAAAAAAAAAATTGTACCAGACAATTATTCTCTTGCAAATAATTAATTGACTAATTAAATATGTACCAAAATCTGATAGAATAGGTTAAATTTATTTAACAGATGGAATACAACCGACTTTATTATTTACTAAAATTATTATTATTTTAATCCTTTGTTGTACTTTTCGCAGGCTTTTCGTGCATATAGAAGATAAATATCAGGCACTCCAGGTCGACGAATACTTTAAAACGCACACATGGACAGAACCCCTTCTCTCTACTGAAGAAGGAAAAAAATATTCAGCTCCTTTCAAAGCTTTGAGGATGAAACATCTTTTATTGCACGATCAGGATGTAAAAATCCTATATAGTGATAATTTAATACCAGCTGAGTGGTTACACGGTGCCTATAAAGAACAGTGGTTACATTTATTGCGAATTGATGCCAATATTGATCGAGGGTGAGTAAAAAGATTTTCCGAGTGCCACTCAAAATTGAAATTTGAATGTAAACTTTGAATTTCTCCACCTTAGATTCCTGAAGCACTTTGTCAACGTTATCACCTTGTTTTTGGTACCGATTTTATTGGGGTACAATCCTTATTCCTCTCCTTTTTTCCTTTTGAATTAATTCTGTGGGGAAGTGGTGAAGACAGATTATATTCACAATATTCTTGAAACTAACCGATCTACAGAATATTGTTAGATATATCATTTATTTTTATTCATTGGTTCTGGCAGAATTATATTGGAAACCTGTTCCGTTCCTCTCGGTGCATAATTTGTTCGCAACGTATTACGTGTTACCACTTCTTTACTCAATTATTTACAATTAAATATTCTATTTTTCGTTAAGTACTCTCATGTGATTTCTTTGCAGGCCAAAAGAAATGACCGAGGAAGAATTCTTTAAGGAATGCTTCAGGTGTGGAAGATGTGTAGAAAAACCAGGCGAACACATTTGGAGGTGGACGGCTTTTCATTTCGGATTAGACCTTGTTGTTTACTTGGATACTACATCCTTGAGGATACGAAGGAATCATCGTTTGGATACAGACCATATTACGATAAATCAGAGGAAAAGGAATATAATAATAAAGTAAGTGATTGCAAGCAATGGAATTATTCATGAAGTAAGAATTTTAAACGGATCATTTGTAATATTTTATTCTTCATTGAAAATGTCTCCATTTTTTCAGAGTTTGTTTAATATCTCTGGATGAGCAACGACAGATAAAACACATGCAGGACACTGGAATTCTACGAATTTCTCTACACAAAAATGAAGAGGTAACGATATTTTTTATATAAATATTGAAAGGTTTGGGGTATAGAGCATATCTCATATTTCAATGTACGTTTTTTTTTAAGAAACAAATAATGGTATTGGATAAGCAGCTGTCGTATCCTCTCTACATATCCGTAAATATGCAAGTGGCAACACCTTTTGCAGCATTAACCGAGGAGAAATCTCCGAACGTAACAACATTGGGCACCTAGTTAATAATTTGTATGAAACCGCACATAATCAGGATAACTAACGGCTCTACGGTGGTGCTGAAAACACGTATTCACTTAATATGATTCCCTGACCTATTCTAGTCCATGTACGTCACACAAGTGCTCTTAGAGGGGACAAACATGTGCCAACACTAGTGAGGAGATGAGACTAACTAGCGTGGAAATACTTCTTCAGAGATTTCTAGATACTTTCTCGCTTTTGATTTCAAACTGTTTAAACAACGCACTAATTCTTTACAAGACTTTCAAAATTTTTGCCATTAATTACGAAAAATTATAGTTTTCATTTAATTCATTACGAGAAATTATAGTTTTTTAGTTCTTTACAATACTTGAAAACTTTTCGGTATTAATTACAAGAAATTGTAGTTTTCTAGTCTGAAGGCATGATAAGAAAAAATTCTCTTCATACTATGTTCTAATTTTCGATTTTTTTTTAATGAGTTCAAAACGTATACTTTGAATGTTTACGTTGATTAACAATTCTACTTTATTTTCATACGTGAGAAACTTTGTTTTTTATAAATGTATTTCGCATTTCCTGTGGGGAAGAAATGATTCATTTGAATTCAATTTGTGGAGAAACGTTCGAATGGCTCAAGTTGGAAGCGATTGCTATATCAGGGATCATCGATTTTAGGGAAAAATGTAAGAAGGATCTCCTCTATATGATTCAAAAGAATTTCCAATTTTCGACTGGATTTATTGTATGATATCATCAATTGTTGGATTATCTCGATAATTATCACTTACAGCTGAAAATATTGGAGAGTTGCATAAAACGGATGTGAAATTACTCATTCTTAAGCTATTAACCAAATGAACCAAACTGTTTCATTGGCTTTTAGGACTCATTTGTAAAAAAAAAGCATGACATTGATTCGAAAGTTCTATATCAGGTTTATTATAATCTTCAAATTCCATTAAAAACTTGAAGATTTTTTCTAGATTTTGTTTTTTCAAGTGCATTAATGATAGTAGATTAAAATCTCCACAAGTTCTCTGGATTACTTAATTATTTATTTAATTATTGAGGATCAGATTGTTAACGATTTAAAAACGAAATCTAGATGAATTTCTGGAAAATGTGTACGCCAACCGGATGGTACTAAAACAATCTCGTGAAGATTTTTCCTTAATCCTTAAATGATCTTTATCTAAAAAAATATTTCAAATCGTTTCATCACCCGATTTTTAATACGATTTTTTTCACAGACCACAATTACGTTATCATTCGAAATACATAATATCATTTATTTATTTCCACACATTGAATAAGATTTGATTGGAGTCGATCATTATTAAAAATGCATAAGACATTATAGTCATTCTGTTCTTAGAACATTCCAATCCAGATGATCAGGATATCATAATCATTGGAAGCATGATGAAACTACGAACGTTTAAGTGCCTTAAACATAAAAATATAAAGAATAATTTATTTTCACATTAAACAAAATAGGGCAAATTGTAAACTTCAAATTGGGTAAAGGAGATTTTTTTTCTTCAATTTTGATACGCATTTACTTTATGTTTTCGTAGTTTATATAGGATTAGTGGTCATGTATACCGCAATATTACAGATATTAGTTTTTCTTTATTTTGAATAGTTTTTTTTTATATTAATAATGGAATAATATAAACAATGGAGTTTTTACAAAATTTGTTAATTTTCTTCTTTGACAGCCCATGAGTACGATGCAATTAATTGAACCTTCCACAAGGCTGTGAACTTTTGTATTTTGTACCTGTATCAATATAACATTTAATTTATTATTTTATAATAAATGTGGCAGGTGATTAGAAGCTTCTTCGGTTATTGAAAACAATTTACGTGGAATGAACAATAAATAACGATTCTTCAATGTTTTTGTAATCATTCAACACTTTATTAATTTTCAGGATTTTCTATACAAGGTTTTAGTTTTCTCTGTGTAAATTAGTTTTTCTATTTTTCTAGTGGAGAAAGAATCGGATCGGTTCACTAGATTCTTTATTCTCGATATTTTCTTTGGACCACAATTCTCAATGAATCTAGGAAAAGCCACATAAGTTGCGAAAATTCATTAAAATCTATTCGCCACTCAATAGATATTTTTCTAAAGTTGAAAGCAGGAGAAATTCTGGCCCAAGGGTTATTTTTAGCATCAAACCATGGAAATCACATCTCATCCAAAAATACAGAGTCGTGTTACATTGTTGTTGTTTTATTGTTATACATTGTTTAACTTTTTTTAACAAACAACATAGAATAAGATAAATAGTTCCTTCTCCACGAGGAAAATGGCAAATTAATTTCTTCGATTCTTAGCATTCTTTTGATATTTCACCCATTAATAAAGCAAATCATATTGAATTCTAAAGGAATTCATTGACGTTTATTTCGAAAAGGGATATTATTTGGCCGGAGGATTGAATTTTAATAATATTGAGGATTTACATCGAAAGAATGTTAACTGATGGAAGAAATAATCAACAAACTGTCAAGAGAATATCTGATAATTCCTTGACATTATGTCTTTAGTTTTCATCTTTAATCTCACGATCACGTCTTTCACTTAGATTTTTTCTAATTAGCGTGAATCTGGCTTACCTAAAATATTACTCTCATTGATTATAATTCTATTCAATCTTACGAGCTAGATTCTTGTAAGGCATATGCGACTGTTTCAACGACGAACAAATTGAGACATCACTACAATTTTAGTTCGGTATTTCATCGTCTTAGAAGAAAATTTTGTGACCTAAAAAAAGGTTCTCCAACATTTTCTTCCATATTATCCGAAATTTTGTCAATAAATAATTAACAACTCTTTTAATAAATCCTTCAATTTATTGATTACTTCTAATTTTTCATAATTGCCTTCTCCATGCAGTCGCTTTGGTTAATTTATTACATATTTTTCTCTTAATGAGAAGGCTTTTCCTTCCTAGAAATTAAATTAATGGATGGAACAGATAATATTTAAATAGGCCGATGCGGACATCAAAAGTTTTGGACAATTCTGGATTTTTTCCATTCAAATTCGAATTATTCCACATTAATTTGGCCATTTGGTGAAGCGAATTAGATTTCTATTATCCATTTGCACGACATTACAGCCTATTTTTAATTCATCTGTCGAATAATTTTACATTATCACGTTTCAAGCTTGAGTACTTCCATATTTCAATTTTTTTGGCATCTGTGAAAATAATTTATAGAGAAACATAGTGTAATCCCTAGAAAAATTTATTACTATTCGCTGATTCTTTTAAACATTTTCTGCCCCCCTTTTAGCGAAAATTACATGAAAATAAACAATTAAATTAACCAGGGTTTTTTGAGTTTTTGGATAAATTGTTGATTGGATTGACCCGAAAAAATATACCGTTTTGCATTTTATCATCATTTTATGCCTCAAGAAGTATGAGCGTGCACTATTTTTTATTTTTTTCTTCTTCCAAAGTGTTATCAATTCTTGAAAAGTTTATAAACAATGAAGGAAAATTATTGGTATATTTTTTGTCGCCAATGCAATCAACAATTGGTCCGAAAACCCAAAAAACCGGTAATTTTGACTAGAAGATAGAAATAATGGAAACCGAAAAAATCAACAGCAACTATTTCATAGATGAAAAAAATATAAAGATTCCACGGAAATTTCAAAGTTATTTTATTTAATATTTTGACAGAACGGAACAAAAACAGTGAGAAAAAATAAGAAATTCTCGAATAGAGTTTTATCTAGGGATCAAATTAAATTGTATTTTTATATATAGTATTTTTCGCATATC